ATATGAGCATGCATACATACACACAAACACCGCAGGAAGCTCTGCACAATAGCTGCCAGTCTCTCGGCCTCCTGTGTTTCTTTACAAACCCGCATGTGTTCCCCAAAAAGACACAGACTGATCAGCGAAAGGAAGAGGGAAGTCGGAGAAAAGCGTGAAAATGAAAGAGTGAGACTGGATGGAGGAAGGGGTAAATGAAGACGGGGAATGGTGAGGAGACTGGGTCTGACAGTCGGATGTTGACATGCAAGGGGACTATCTCTTCAATGGAGTGAGCATCAGCTGAAAGATAAAAGGGGGAAGAGAGACAGGCCGCTCATCTCTGCTGCGCTGAAGAGGAGGACATGGAGAGAGCAGCAAACCGGGGAAACCGAAAGCCCCAAAACACAGAGATAACAGCAGATGTCCCACTAGCTCTGAAGACCAGCAGGTGTTCCACAGACAGGGAGTCTTACCTGTCGCCCTTCAGCCCTCCACAGGCCGTTGCTGGTCTTGGTGGGGGCAATGGTGACCACGGGAGGGTTGTTGGGAACACCGTGGCCTCGGTTCTGGCCCAAGAGGGACCCTAATGAGCCCCGCTTTGGGGTGGTGACTGGCGAGCTGGTGGCCGGGGAGGAGACTGGAGACGGCTCTCCACTGAGGACAGAACCTGAGAAGGTAAATAGCAAGACAGGTGAGCGATAATCCAATCATATCATAGAGATTTTTCACCAAAATGAAAGTTTTTTTTTTTTTAAGGAACGAGCAGTCATTTGATTAAAAGCGTTCTGGCAAATGTGACTGAAATGAAAGAAAGTGGAAAAAGATACCGGACGAAAAAACATAAAATGATGAGCGAGAAAGGATTACGGTAGCGTATGTGTGTACAGAAAAGGAAAAAAAAAACATGTCATAAGAATGAATTTATAACAAAAAAAAGCTGGAGTGTGACACAGAGAAGGAGAGGTGTTAAATGTGATGAAGCTGGCATTACTCTTTCACTGTAACACCACCAAAAAAAAACACAGACGCATGCAGAGATAGCAAAAAGAGGAAACACTGAGTTGGAGAGAAGGTGAGAATAGATGCGCTCATGGAGAGCTGCAAGTACAGATGGAGGGAGAAGACAAGATGGTGATGGAGGTGGGGGACAGACAGAGAGCTTGTAAGAATTGGTTGTAATTAGATTTTCATAATTAAGGGATGAACGGAAATGAATGAAGGCTGAGACAGTGTGGGAGGTCACAGTAGGTCAGCTCTCAGCATCCTCCCTCATTTGGACTCCAGAGAGCCGAGCTGAAGGTGGACACACTCAACCGAAGGGTGACCGGGTACCGTCGTGTCTCACGTCACTGCACAACTCTGGTTTGTGAAATGATCCATTTCCAGTCGATAATACCTCATTCACACCTTAAAAGGATAGCTTTGTCAAGTGCACTTACATGCGTTTCAGCAGAGAGGAACATAAGAGGATTGATATTATGCTCATGTCAGCGTGCTAAGCCGGTTAGCTTAGCACTAAGACCAGAAACCAAAAGCAACAAAAATACACCAACCGGCGCCTCTAAGCTCACAAACCGTTATATCTAATATGGCAGGGCTGACATTGATCTTAAAATCGACCGTTTTTGGGTGTGTGTGGGAGATACAGGCAGAGTTCTGGGCTGGGTTGATGGTCAAACACCTGGTTTTCAGGGTGGACGTGTCATCACTCACCTCGGGGATCTTCGGCCTGTTTGGCCAATTTACGCAGGGCAGCAGCGAATCCGGAATTTGCAGACTGGGCAACTGCGCTCCCATTGGTTAGAGGGCTGAGGGGACTGACTGTGGCCGTGGTGCGAGTTGCCGTGGAGATCATTCCTAATGATGGTGATTTTTTGGATTCATGGTTCATACCTGAGGAAGGCAAGAAGAAAGACCATTTTAATTATTTGATTTTGCAACGTTAAACTGCTCACAACTTGTCTGTCAAGTGATGACTTCAGAAACTAATCTAGGACTGGCTTCTTCTGTCATTATCCAGCAAATGGAGCAGTTTTCTGAACGCAACCAGTGAATTTCTGCTGAATGATCGAAACTCAACCGGAAAGTATATGTTTTTGTCTTTATGTCTGGGCATGATTGTGAGTGGGTCAGCTGCACCACAGACGGGGTGGAGGGGGTAGAGCTGTGTCAAATAGAGTACTGACCCTAATAGCAAATCACATACATGAGTGCACACATGTCCGTCTCCTCAAGGGAGCCAGTCCACACATCTTAAGACCCCAGGAGTGTCTACACGCAAGACTTATCGCCATCGCACAAATTTTACACCCCTAACAGATGCAAGCATGTACACACATGCACAACTAAACCACCACCGAGGCACACACATAACTTTAACCACCATCGATCCCCTGGTCAGCCAAGGGAGAGAGAGCGAACGCGCTCTGAGTAACCTTTATCTTCACCCTCTACCCTCACACTGACCCACTAATGTTAATTACAGCTGGAATTAGCCGACAAGCGCCCCCAACCCACCCCCACCCCACGCTACAGCAATGACCTCATTACCACCACCACGCACAGGCACACGCAAACACCTTTAAAGCCAGCACACAGGAACCCGGAGACAAACAAACAAAGAGCAAAAGCAAATAGGCTCATGAAAAATGTATGTGTGAACACCAAACACAGTTATGGAGTGTTGTGCTCACCACGCACTCGCAACGCTGACGGGCAGAAAGGATACAGAGGTGTCTGAGCCCGTTGGCCGAAAAGTGTCAGAAATCTCATATCTACGGATGTCAGGTTAGATCTTACCCACTACCTGCCACACATGAGCCGAGGCAGCCGATGAGGGACAAATGGAGTGAGAGTAGACACATTCGGGGGGGGGGGGGGGGCGAAATCTTGGGCAATAATTTAACATTAATGAGCTGCTGATTTTCACCAGGACCTGACCACATGGGACCAAAGATGAACATCCAGAAGAGTTAAAAAGAGATATTTAAAAAGAGATATTTCTGGTGTAATGCACACAGCTGACACTTACACAACTCCTGAAGTGACTGCTTCCTTTCATGTTCACTGAATTATCTCAGAGGAACTGTTTCTCTGTAATCTTTTCTGAAATATATTTCTTTTGTTTTCATATTTGCCTCTGTGTCTACAGTCACGTATTAACATGTCAAAAGGCAAATTGAATCTGAAGCTGTGAATCAGAAAGGGAAAGAGACGAAGAGAGTAGAAGCTCCTGACAGTCTGTGTGTGTTTGTGTGCGTGTGTGTGTGTGTGTGGCTGTGTGTGTGTTTGTGTGTGTGCGTGCGTGCGTCTCTGCTGAGCCCAGCAGTCAAGAGAGAGATGATAAGACAGTTTCTATCGACTCCTTCTCTGCCTCCCTCCTCTCTTCCCTCTTACTCTGTCCTCCCAGTCTCTCTTCTCCTTTTCTTTCGTGTTTATCTCAGCTTTCTGGAGCTCATTTAACAAAAGCCAACAGACATAATCTCCTCTCTTTCTCTTGTTTTCTTTCTCCCTTCTTTTACAATCTTTCCTTACAGGCTATTCCTTTGATATTTAGCCACGTCATTAGCAAGCAGAAGCAAGCACACACTGAAGTGTGCATATGCACGTAATTCAAACATGCAAACACTCACCCTCCCGCTCACTGTTCTCCTCCTGCTCGTCGTCTTTCTGCTCCTGTGTGAGACTCTTTCACTCTCCCCCTCTCAGCCTTGCAGCTGCTACGTGGTCACGTGACCTCTTTTCTATCCATTTCCCCCCTCCTCCTCTTACTCCTCCTCCGCTCTATCAACCACCCCCCCATGCCCTCCCTCTCCATCTATCACCCTCTCCATTCTACCTCCTCCTACTCCTCTCCGTCACTCTTTCTATCTTTCCATTTCCCCTCCTAAGCCGTCCCCTCTCTCTGTCTCTCAAACTGTCGTTTGTCTGCCTCCTTCTTTTCTTTCTTCATTCTTCATCCTTCCTCCTTTTGGCTTGGACTCTAGGGAGAGTGGTGGCGGTGCTCATGGTGGCGGGGGGGGGGGGATGAGTAGAAGGAGGAGGGTGGAGGGGTGGTGACGGGAAGGGAGAGTGTGTGATTTGAGCTCAATGTGTGTGTGTGTGTGTGTGTGTGTCTGTGTGTGTGTGGTAGAGGGCAGTGTTAATGCTCCATCCATCACTCTGTCTGTCTGGTTTGGGATGTAGGGGGTTGGGGGGGTGGTTTACAGCGACCTTTCACCTTTCACCTCTGACCGCTGACCTCGACAGCAGGGGGGTTGGAGGATTAAATACACAACAGTCCTAAACACAAATTAAGACATTTAACTCTCTCTGGGAATCTTCTTTTATGAGTGGTGAGTGAATATGTAAACATGACTGAAAGACCGTGCTAGCAGAGCCGGCTGTGAGAGGGTAAGGATCATTTCATCAGAAAACAGCAAGGTGGAGGGAGAAGAAGAAGAAGAAAACAAGCCCTGCTGTTGAAGACCAAAGTCTGGTTGTAGACGCCGAGTCTGAAAAATGACGTCAGCGAGGATCTACCACAAACCGGCATTTCTTCTCTCGGCCAGCAGGGCCAGCCTCATTAGACGCTAATAGAAGCCCCACAGAGGGGACACTGACCTGGAACACATTCTAAGTTGGTTTTGTTTTACCTCGACAAACACAAAATGTACGAAAATCGTTTTGGGTTTGAGCAGAGAAACACTGACCTGCAATTCAGGGCTTGTGTAACGCAAAATACACCCCAAGATCAAGGTGTCCAATCAAACAAACAAATCACTATCTGTAGTACTCCAGGGGTAACTGGGAAATGTTTTGCCATTGTTGACATCTAACGTTTGAGTTGGTGGCCCAAGTTGCTGCTTTTAAGTCCTCTTCAACTCGACACGTTGGTCTTTTTGTAGAAAATGTCACACATTTGAATTGCTGCATCCTTTGGAATTCACATGGACGTGTAGAGGTTGTGCTCACTAACCTGTAACCACGCCCCATAACCAGTCACATTGGTTTGATGCAGAATGATCCTATCGGGCACACTGAAAAATATAACTTGGCGCATTGCATTCTGGAAAAATGGATGGCGTTTTTTTAGAACCATTACAAGAAAGATACTAAATCAACAAGACACCGCAACATACCAGTGATCCAGGACAAATGTATTCTCTGAAAGAACGATGCAGAAGCAAAATGGGTTCATTTGGAGAAAATTAGGTAAGGGCAAAGAGCGCTAAAGGGAGGACAGTGTCTGCTTGGGCAAGTAGAATTTGTCTTTTTTCCTTTAATCCCGCTGTTATCATTTGCTCACCAAAGATGTTTGTGTCTATCATGTCTGTGCTGTATGGTAGTGGAGGATGATGAGATTCAAAAAAGAATGATAAAAAACCACAGAAGGTCTTGTGCTGTTCCTATTTAAGTCCATCTATATGGAAGGGTCTTTTTCTAATATGTACCAAAATATACTATATTTGGACTCACTATTGATCTCTGGCATGTTAGCAAACCAACAGAATGTTTTATGTACTATGAAATCTGTACACGCACAGCATTAACTGAGGCTTTTTGGCGTTTGCACCTCTTCTTCATTCCGTTTTTAAACCCGCCATCTCACACAGTGGTTTGGGAGGCGCACCAGTCATAGAAATTAATGTCAGAGAATACATTCTTGGCAAACCATTTTTGCAGTTATTCACTCAGAACTAATTGACGAATCATCCATCGACCAACTGACACCAAAGCCGGTGGCACGGCTAAAATTAACCCGGCATCGCAAACTAATAAAACGTCCCTCGGCTTTGCCAAAATGGAAATGATATCCGGCTGCACTTCCACTCATCCGTACACAAACACGCCCACGTCCACAATCACATTCTGCTCTGCATGATGTAAGTGATATAGGACATGTCGAAGCTTGTGTCTTTAACACCTCTTTTTGTGTCTCTCACTTGCTCTTCTTTTACTTTCGCTCGTTTACACAAAAACAGACAACACACTTGACTCAGGGGGACTGTGAGGACAGCAGGGGAGGACCTGCTCTGCCCTGTCAGCTCATTAAAAAAGGCACAATGTGTGTGCGCGTCTTTCTGTGTGTAAGCAAAGATAGGTCATTAGGGTGTAAAAAGAGGTTGTAACACACTACCTACTCATTAACCCTCATCACACTGGCATGTCTGAGTGTGTGTGTTCCTCTGCAGCTACATTGTCAACACTTGGACATTAAATTGACTACCCTCACTTTTGTTTACGAACAGTTGCCTAACAGACTAATAAAGAATGTGAACGCGCGCGTGTGTGTGTGCGCGAACACAAAAATGCTCTGTTTAAGACTTTACATTTTCATTTGGGTAACTGCAGCTGATGAATAAGTCGACAACGGCTTCTGGTGCTGCCTCAATAGCTGGCAGACTTTTTCAACTTTCTCCACCAGGCGCACAAACAGACACATACACACACACATGCGCAAGCGAGGGGGAAAAGTAGCCAAATGTTTTACTGCCTCTTAAACTTGTCTGTAACAGCAGTCAGAGTGGCGTCAACACAGCAGTCTCTGAGGTTACTCCAGGGGATGCTAAATGGCTTAAGAAGCTCAAGTCACTCTGCAGCTCCCACAGAAACACTTATCACGTCCTTACATCCCATAAACCAGGAACATACTCTCCCACTTTTGGGATCTCACACATCCATCGGATGGCTCACAAATCACGACAAAGGACAGACAGAGAGACAGTGACATCAGCCGGGAGACACGTGCACGCCGAGACGCGCGAAGACAAGAGCAATTAGCTGACTCAGCATTCAGGCATTAATGCATCGCAAAACGTATGCGCGTGACCCCGGGGGGGGGGGGAGCAAACAGCCAGCGCGCATTTATAGTCCCGGGATAAATGGAGCAGAAAAAAAACACAAACTGCAATAACCAACACGTCCAGCTGAAAACATGCTGGAGCTCAGCGCGGTGGCACACAAGAACAATGGGGGGGGGTACAGGAGGTGTAGCAGTCCAGTCTGCCAAGAGTGTTTCTGTTTACCCTGCGATCATAACAAAGTCAAGATGCCAGTGAAAGGAGGACCAAGAAATGATGACCGCAACAGCAACACAAACACAAACAGGCACAAGTACTTCTGAATGCCCCCCCCCCCCCCCCCCCCCTCTTCTCTGTTGGGCTCTCTGCCTTCCACCTCCTGCAGCCTGCGGGGCACCATTCCTCTCTCAGTGACCCCTTCTCCATTGCTCTAATCAGCGTGCTCGTCTGCGAGCATCTCGTCACCGCGTTTCAGTCGCAGAAAGAGGATATAAATAGCACCTGTCCCGGGACACCTCACGCTTTACTCTATCAGTCTGTGTCATCATTTCTTTGCTTTGTCATTTCTTCCTCACAATCTCTTTTTCAGCCTCCTATATTCTGTTTTTGCCCCCCCCCCCTTTCCCTTTGTGCAATCAATCTCCTCTGCAGTGTGTGGCTCAGTCTTGTTTCTCTGATACGGATATGATGCAAAAAAGATAAAAACAATCTGAGGCCAGCCAATTTTATTCGCTCTCAGTGTGTGATGGTTCCTGCCGGGGTCTGACTGCTGCCTGCAGCTTTTTATTTGGTGTGTGGCATGTTTGTGTGGTATGTGTGCGTGCGTGTGTGTGTGTGTGCTCAGAGGGGTCATGTCAGACAGTTAACAGCCTCAGCTCACCAGGTGCCGACACCGCTGTGGCTAGACCTCGACCATCTGAGTAAACACGAGGTGTACGCTGACACACAAACATCCCTCCCAGACAGGTGCTGGCTGTGTGTAAAGTCTGCCGTGGAAGCGCCGTGCGTGCTGGAAAACGGCCTGCAAACAACTAATGACCGACGGGCGAGCGGGCTGTTTGGGAAGCCTGCTCGGGTCACCCAATCAGAGCAGGGCCGATGCTGCTCGCCACCTCTGAAAGAGTGAGCTTTTACAAACGTTAAGAACAGATGAGTAGTAGTAAGAGTCGTCACCTGTCCTCTCCAGCAGCTTGAATACCTGCTTTTGACTGTTTGCAGAATACTGTACCGAACAATACCAGATGGCCCTTAAATCAGATTATGTATACAAGGATTAAGAAGGGGCTATCCTCTTGATTAATAGCTGGAAAATCTAAAAAGAAACACACACACACACACATACACACACACACACACACACACACACACATGGACACACATAATAGGGGATCCAATCCAAATCCAAATGAATTTAATGAAATCCAGTCGGGTAGTTTTTTGTCATTTTGCCTACAAACAACCAAATAGCTTGGAATTCAATTTATTGAGGATTTTTTGTAAAAAAAATTCTGCAGTCAACACTAAAATCCATCGAACCAGAAAATGCAAATAAGTATTTTAGTGAATATTATTTTAAAAAGTAGAAAATCTAAATAACCGAACCTGGACCTAAACACTAGTGGTCTTGTTGTTCTCCAAAACTAAACATTTTTATAGATGATTAAAAATGGTCTTTTCTTCTTTTTTTTAGCTTTACCTGACCAATAACATTGTTTTCCAGGAAACAAAAACAGTGAGGGGAACACAAGCCATGATCGGTGGAGCCTGAGTTTACAGCTTCTATATGAGAAGGAGGTAATTAAAGAGATTGGAGGTTTACTCAGTAACCCCTGCTGAGCAGCTGGTCTATGGCAGGTCAGGAGCAGCACATGGTGCATGGAGCGTGTGTGAGTGTGTGTGTGTGTGTGTGTGTGTGTGAGTGAGTGTGTGTGTGTGAGTGTGAGTGTGTGTTTTAAACTCCACCTGCAGGCTGTGTACACACACAAAAGCGACGGGATCCGCTTGACTGCTGCTAATGCGCCCGGCGGCATCTATCTCAGCCAAACAATACAGCCGCTGTTAAAGGTCCCGGATTAAAGAGCGACTCCTCTGTCCCCCCCTTTGGCGCTGTGAGACAGCCCATCATGGAGAACCACAGTGACTGTGCTTGTGCCCACGAAGTTTACCGAGGGCAAACAGGGGCGGTGTTCGATCACTGACAAGTTTGACAAGAAGAACACCCTTCAAGGTGCCACAGACAGCTGCGTCAAGACGCACACATGTACCTGAACCAAACCGGAAACGGGTCGACCTTATCTTCAGAACAAAGGGGGGGGGGGGGGGGGGTGAAAAAACAATACAATGAAAAATAGTTTAATTTATTTTGCTTAGTGCACTACAAACCCCACCGTTCCACGTCCACACAACACTTTTTTCAAGGGTGAAACCAGAGGCTATTTACTCCTACAGTCATCACTCTGCCTCTCAAGATTAACCAGTTTGATTACATACTTCCTACAGACTCGTTGATACACCGCTCACCTTTCTTAACCATTTGGTTCGTAAAGCCTCCCGCATATGCGTAAAAGTAGACCAACACTAACTTTAAAGAAACTGCTTGAGATTGACACAACAGATCCTAGTGTCATCTGAGGATGAAACTGCCCACACATCAAGAGAATAAGCAGCACAAACCATAACTAACGTGGCCAGGACTAAAATAATAATAATTTACCTCTCAGAGACATAATTCAAAAAGCGGCACCCGGGTATTAATGGAAGACCTTATCATTCTCTACCACCAACAGCAAAGCAAACAAAGACATTTGTCCGAAAACAAAAGAGAAGACCCAACTTACCGCCTCACCAAAATGAGAATCCACAGCTTTTGCGCATCTTTACTTGAATAAACGAAGGCTCTGAGAGCAGCAACACTCTGTTTGAAGTCTCCGACGGCAAGCGCGGTGTGGAGATGTGGAAAGGAGAAGGACAACTCATTAACTGTCCTCCGAGAGGGAGACTGGGGGGAGGCGGAGAATGAGAGGGGAGGGGAATGTAGGGAGGGGGAAGAGGAGGAGGAGGAGGGGGAGGAGGAGGAGGAGGGCGAGCACCTGCTCCACTGATGCTCCCTGGAGAGATGGAGGGATGGAGGGAAGGATGATGTGGCCCCACAGAGCAGATACCTCACTGGATGGACGTGTTTACTGTCCACAGGAGACAATCAGACCTGTTCAAGTCAGCTCCCCCTGCTGTTACACTGGTCCAGAGAAACACTAACAAGCCTCCTTAACAAATTACAAGTGATACTTGCAAGCTGCAATAGATAGCCTACTGCTACTGTCAACAGCAGCTATACCAAAGCAGAAGTGGGGTTTCTCACAGTTAGATGAAAGACAAAATACTGTCATAGAAAATAAAAAAGAACATCAGCAGAATCTAATAAAACAGAGCCTTCATTAGGCCTTTTTGTATCTATCTATCTATCTATCTATCTATCTATCTATCTATCTATCTAT